AATCATTGCGTATATTACTAAATTTCTAATATAAACAGTACTGGTTGTCTAAAGTCATATTTATTTATCATTAAGGGAACGACCATTTGACTTCAAAGGAGGGGGTATGGTTTTTTCCTAAAAAATTATTCTGATCCCCAATTTGATGAAAAAAAATATTGTGGCCAAGCAGATGACAAAAAAAAAATATTCTGAATCCAGATTTGAAAAAAATAATTTGATTGATAGCGTCGAAAAACTAAAAAAAAAAAAAAAAAATTCTGACTCAGATAAAAAACCATAACCCCCCCTTTGAAGTTAAATGGTTGTTCCCTAAGGAAAGCTGGTGTTGATATCAGATCGTTGATTAATTTTAGAAATCAATTCACAAATTTTCTAGATTTTTTATTGTAATATTGTATATTAGACATTCGTTTTCATTTGTACAAGACTGTACGTTATCCCTTTGGTTTTTATGTTGATGGATTGCTGTCACATTGAAGTTAACCCTACGCCTCAATTTTATTTATAACCAAATGCGTTAATTATGTCAGCAAAAAAGAGGGGTAGATCTATAATTCGGACGAATTCAATAAATCTTGAAAGATGATTTCTTAAAATCCAAATGTCATATTTGGTAGCTGAATTTGTATCGCATATCTTTCTTATTGTTATACTAACTCTGACAGAATAACTAAAAAGGTAGCCATTACACATGTATGTCTCTATGGTAAATATGTATATCACAATCCAATATATACAGTGGAATCTATACAATTTATGACTACAGCAGCCATTCGAATGTAATTACCCTTTCCATTCACTCAAATACAAGTTTATAGAAATGAAACTGGGCTGATATGCAAAAAAATACTTAAGTTAAGATTTGTTTCAAACGGACGTGATTTTTCTACACAATCTAATTAAAATATAGAACTCGGATTTCGTTATACTACATACGTATAACGAAATCCGAGTTCTATATTTTAATTAGATTGTTTTCTAAATGGGCTACGATAAATTAGTACTACGATTGGATATCTTAACTTAAGTGGTTTTATGCATATCAGCCCAGACTTGTAACACGACGACAATCCAACACGAGACTACAAGCTCTTGGCTCGGCACATAATAGCCAAATATGTTACAGGGTTAAACAATCAAGTTTATTAACGCTGGATCGTCCCCTTACCTTCACTGTGGTGATACAACATAAACTTGATAAAGTGACAAACTGTAAAAACACTAATTACACTGATTTTACTCTTTGTGTGTTTTTATTATGATAGATTGACTTAAAGTCCAGGAGCAAATATTTGATCCACATCAGAATAACATAGTGATATTTAACATGAGGATCCCAAATTGTACATATTTTGACAGGTTTTTCACATACGTTTATTCATGATCCAGACAAAAGTTTTCATTCTGTGTTTATCTTGTAGATGTATCCTTATTTATTATATAGTTCCACCAATTTAATTTCAAATTCATACTGAATCATAGAAAAATGGGTTTGAACCGACCTCCAAACGATCCATGATTCTGTAATGAGGAGTACCCAAACTGCATCCATGCTTAAATTCACGTTCGTCAAATCGAAAAACTGATGTTTTATTTTATTTCTCCAAATATTTAGAACAATTTTACAATAGTCCATGCTTGAAATAATTTTTTTAAGAAACGGATGCCTGTAACATATTTTGATTGCTCATTCTTTAAAGTTGACTTTTTGTGGACATCGCATGATGACGTTTCCGTAGATTTTACTTTTTTCCAGTGAATACTTCATCCGTTTATATATACTGTGAACGTTTTGTGTATATTTAGATATGTTAAACTACATGAAAGACGTGCATAGAAAATACAAATAGTTAGTCTCTAAGAAAACTTGTAAGATTTCCGCTGCTATTTTTCTAAATGGGTGCAATTTGGGTACTGGGTGCAATTCGGGTACGGTGACGTTAGCTGGTAAAATCAATATTCGCTTCTTAATAATTTTGTTAAAAAGAGATGAAGGGGATACGTCGATAAAAAAAATCAAAATAATACAACAATACCTAATTCAGAAAAGACACAGACATCTGTTGTCTCAGTTAGAGGAAAGTCGTTACAAAAAAGATTTAGCTGCTTAGCTACATATCTTATTCAAATAGCGGCTATTTTGATTATGATGAAGATCAACTAGTGTGAAGCTAGCCGTCCATAACAGCCGGCTTTAATATTCACGAGGCCAACCTTCAATAATATTCATGAGCCATCAATAATATTCATAAGATAACTTCCGTTCGATGAAGTCTTGTAAGAAACTATCGATGATAACATGACGTTTTTTGTTTATATTTGATACTGTTTCAAACAGGCAAGTCAATGGGTGTCTACTTCGAGGTCCGCGTTTACTTAATCAATTTTGAAAAGGAATTAATAGTCTTCTGCAAGGTCTGCGTCTTTTAACAACATTTTAAATGAAAGTAAATAGAAAATGTTAATGCTTCCATAAACAAAGAACCAAGAAACGATCTATCTAAATTCTGTAATTAGTGAAATAATGTAAACTGAAACAACAATAAACAAAGGGATGATTGAATATAGAAATTTAACGATTACTATAAATAAAGAAATTGAACGAAAGACATGAAATGTGCATAATTTTGCATCTTGAAAACGGGACATTCCCCCGGACAAATTAAATAGAACAGTTCTTATAAATATCTGTCTAAAAATATGGTCCCATCTCAAAGTACTTCATATCGTAAATGCGATAGTTTATCTTCCATTTTAAACAGACCAGACACACAAAAAGTTTTACAATTAAAGATAAAAGCAGAAGAAATGAAAACTAACCGTTACTTTATCAATGACCTTTCATTATTCAAAACTACGGAGATCAAATAGAGTCTTAACATAATCAGGTTATTGCCATTCAGAGATTGGCATTGCCTTTAAAATGGCCCTAGACCTGTACGAGTTTGTCAGCAAAGGATAGGGGGAATACCCTGGTATATCACAAAGTCAAAATTAACTATTGCCGGCTGGCCAAACTAAGAGATTCTCCACGTGGGCCATGATACCAGAGGTAGAGGTAGGCATTGCCTTTAAAATGGCATATAGCACTTATGCCATAGACCCGGGCGAGTTTGTCATCAAAGGGTTAAAAGGGAGGGGGGGTATCCCGGTATATCACAATGTCAAAATTGGATATTGCCAACTAGCCAAACTAAGAGATAATCCACGTGGGCCATGATACCAAAGGTAGAAGTAGACATTGCCTGTAAAATAGCCTTAGAACTTATGCACTAGACCCGTACGAGTTTGTCAGCAAGGGATTAAAAGGGAGGGGATACCCCAATATATCATAATGTCAAAATTGGCTATTGTCGGCTGGCCAAACTAAGAGATTTATCCATGTGGGTCATGATACCAAAGCTAGAGGTAGGCATTGCCTTTACAATTGCCTATAGCACTTATGCCCTAGACCCATACGAGTTTGTCAGCAAAGGGTTAAAAGGGAGGGGGGTTCCCCAGTATATCACAATGTCAAAATTGGCTATTGCTGGCTAGCTTAACTAAGAGATTATCCACGGGGCCATGATACCAAAGCTAGAGGTAGGCATTGCCTTTAAAAAGGCCTATAGCACGTATGCCCTAGACCCTTACGAGATTTTCAGCATAGGGTGGGGGAGGGGAGTACCCCGGTATATCACAAAGTCAAAATTAACTATTGCCGGCTGGACAAACTAAGAGATTCTCCACGTGTGCTATGATACCATATTTTATATTGCTATAAATAGTAGAACCATATTGGATATTTACAGCAAAAAGTTATTTTATTGTTACAAAATATTAATTACCCACACCACATCATTGAACGCGGTCTCATCTCATGAATATTATTGAAGGCTAGCCTCATGACTATCAATGCCGTCTTCATGGATGTTAAATGTACCATGCATCGCAAATTAAATTCATATTCAGCTGGACGAGAACATGTAAATGTGATACCAATATGAAATCTGCTTTGTACTAGACAGACACGCTGAGTCAGACTTTTAACGTGCTAGCTCACAAGGTAATAGTCCGCAGGAAGACATGTTCCTACCCGGACACATTTTTCTGACTTCGATCCAACCAGGTTTTGCTCTTACTCCCAAATGCCGCGTGTTTGACGAAGAAGCAGCAAATACTGATTTTAAGATTTTGGTACGGCTTTTGATATATATGACCGTTGGCGAAGTGGATCTACATCGAAAAGTATTATTCAAATTGTACCTTTGTCAAAGGTTGTGTTTCCTTAGTTAAAATATTTCTAATCTGCATCAAACAATCACAAATATAAATAAATGCTAAAGCCAAAGTAATACGCAATCGGAGGGTGGTCGAATTAAAACAAAAAATGTCATTTTGACATCGTTTGAAGACGAATGTTCTTTCATTGGTCCTTCTTCGTTCAAGGACGAATCATTCATAAATTGTAAATTAATGTCAAAAAGGATATGGCAGAAATTTCACACCATTGCAGTATCTGATGTTTTAAAAGATGATCCATTCCAGGGGCACGTCTGTGTATCTCCTACGAGATTAATTGATTTAGCCTTGTAGTTTCAAAGCGGTCATGTGGCTAGCTGGTTTAAGATATTCTCGGAAACCAGCAACAGGATCGACTCTGTGTGAGTAATCACATACGACGCCATTAAATAAAATAAAATGATGTAAACATAATTAGTCGTAAATATGAAATGGCCTTGATGTTTAAACATCTTTTGAATTTCATAGTAAAATATACATATTTAAATAATGTGTGTATTCATCTTCGACAACGTGCTCAATTTGTAATTCAATACTTCAACTGGGAAAAACATAATAGTATATAAATTTGACCGAATAATGTTTACTGTAATTCAAATACAATGTATTTTTAGTTGTATATTTTGTGAAGTTGCATCACCATTTGCACTTGATGATTTGAACTATCATGCTGAAATGAAAGTTCGAATTTTGGGAATAAAGAAAACTTGACTTACCTTTTTGTGTACGTATTAAAATTTATCAAACCGAAAGCTGTAAATCTTTATGTATGTAATAAATTAACTTATGCAAATTAATAGACATTTATTGCACGATGTTTTGTAGTACATGTAATCACCAGCCCTCCTTTAGTAGTACATATACATGTAATTTGTTAACCAACAATATACAATGGACCCTCACTAGGTTTTTTTTCACAATTATTTCTGTCATTTTGGCTAAAGAAACCATCGAATCTATCAAACATTGAAATCACATACTCGAGGATGTAATATTATTAATTTCTTATATAACAGTTATTTTAAATATACATTTTATTTATATATATACATTTCTTAAGGAAAAGACGAATAAACTTACGTATATCTGTAAACAACTGTTATTTGGTTACACCTGATTGCATCTGTGACATTATATTAGGGTCTGGATGGGGTTTACAGAATAGAGAATGATGGCAAAAATAAATAATGAATAGAGAAAAATGTGCAAATAATTTAAAGAAAAGAGAATTGTCGGATGCTAAAGTTTAAAGAATAATTGTGGAAAATAAAAGAATTAGGTAATAAAATACCTCTTGCCTTTGTTAGTCTTGTATGTTTTTTTAAATTTAGTTCATTTATATGTTTCGGAGTTTAGTGTGGCGTCCATTTTCACTGAACTAGTACACATTTTTGTTTAGGGGCCAGCTGAAGCCCGCCTCCAGATGCGGGATTTTCTCGCTGTGTTGAAGATCCATTGGTGGCCTTGGACTGTTTTCTGTTCTTTGGTCGGGTTGTTGTCTCTTTGACACATTCCCGATTTCCATTCTCAATTTTATTATTACATAAATGAATGATGTACAGCTCAAAGAAATCTGATTCAATATATTACAGAAAAAGTCAATAGTAAAATCATATTCATGAAAAATGTACAGAATCATCGTTTTTTTTAAAACAAAGAAAAAATGCCCTTATAAATTAAAGAATACAGAAATTAAGGACCCCCATCTAAACCCTCTTAATATGTTGTAAGTCACATTTTTTTCTTTCACCACTGTATCAATAAAGTCAGAAAAATATGTTTATAATTTTTGTTATCATGAATTATTATGTCACGGCATTTTGATATTGACAATACTTTATGCAGAATTGCCTTCTTATGTGTAAAGTTTTTGCAAAAATATTTTTTTAATTTTCCGGAAAGTTTTCTATGCCGTGACGGTTATTTACCTTCATTTCTTTTTATATCGAAATGGACATTTCTGTCATTATTTTACTTCAAATGTGAGCAGTAAAATAAAACATAATTTCATTTGAAAAAAAAAGATGAATAGATAACACGAATCACAAAAATCTTTAAAGAATCATGACTTTGACCCCCAAAACAACTTGCACGAAAAAGTGAAAACAGGCTTTTAAACGATGCAAAACTTCAGACTATGTCTCATTCATCAGACTTCAGTAAAACAGAGAGCATCGACGAACTGAAATCAGCATTACAATAGTTAAATTTTGAAAAGGAAAAACATTTGAATAGAATGATTAAATACTGAAATACCATTATCACAACCCCCCCCCCCCCCCCCCCCCAAAAAAAAATGACGCTGTTAACAGTGACCGCTATGTCATATTTTGAAAAAAAGGACTTCTGATTTATTTTTATGCTAAATTTGAAGTCGGGATACTTCAAAGCTTTTAGGTAAAAGAAGAGCAATACTCATAAACGGCAACATGAAGTTGGGACATTCGGTATATTTTACTTCAAAAAATCTCTGTTTAAAAACACACGCAAACTTATAATAAGTAGAGCACTTCTTTTATCTTCCGTGATACTTTACACTCAATATAATTACCATATAATGTATATGTAAGATAGGAATAGGCAATAATAAGAATATATAGCCTTCGATTTTTAAGAGTTTTTTTATTTGGATAAGATACAATCTCTTTCAAGTATCTTATATATATGATCCAACTGTTTTGAGAATGTTTCTTGTCTACCTGTTTCCTTATCTTTTCTTCAATGTGCTTTTTTTTTATTTGTCTTAATATAACTTTTAAAATGACAAATTTCACGTCACAGTATCCAAATTGCACCGAGCACCCATTTTACAAAAGCTATAGAAACCTAATTAATTTTCTTAGAGACTACATGTAAATATAGCCACTGTTATAGTCTCTCAGAATGGCTCTCTATTTTATATCTATATTTTACACTAAATGTAATGTTGTATTATATATCATTGAGAAATGAGACTTAAATAAAATATTGAATTGAATTGTAAACAAGTCGTATTTTTATCATTTGTCATTCAGTATGCACTTCTTTCAATATAGCTTGATATACAAAACGGACACTTATAAATAAAAAAAGATTTACATAAAAGTCCCCAGTTAAAAAAGGAAAATTCATGGAAACGTCCACAAAAGTCGTCTTTTAAAAATGAGAAAATAAAATTCGTCACAGGCATCAATTTCTTACAAAATGCACAGCAAACAAGGACTATAATATTGCCATATTTATCTAAAAATGCGGAAATTTAAAACAAAACATCAATAATCACATATGTGTAGTGAAGCAAGTGTGCAATTTAGGTACAGCAACAGTAACTTTTCGTTACAGAATCTTCGATCGTATAAAAGTCATATATAAACTCATTTTTATATAATTCAGTATGTATTCAAAATAAATTTCTGGAACTTTTGTTATTACGGGGGACCTCAATATCGTCCAGGACAGAGAGGTTAAAACATTTTGAAAAAGGACCAAAATATCGTCCTCCATCTAAAATAGATTGGAAACAGTGTCGTCAGGTCACCAAAGATGCTCTTTCCTCGCTTTGTAAAAATTGGTGTAAACGGGAAAAATCTGATAAAAAATCTGTTGATTCTTATTTAAATAAATGTATGAATGTGGTAGATAATAGAATATCACATTTTGAAAATAATTTAGAAGTAAATAATAGAGTACATAATACGCCTATTTCCAGAATAAGAAATAAACTTCAAGAACTTTCAAAGCGGTTTGTGTTTGTACCGGCCGACAAAGCAGCCAACAATGTGGTGGTGGTATGTCGTAAATACTACACGGACGTTTTTAAGAATGAAATTTTAAATTCATCTACATTCAAGTCCATGCGCCCCACAGAGAGTCATATAGATAACAAACATATCATAACCACATCACAGCTTAAGGCTTCTTCTGAACATTTGAAGGTCCTAACTGTGTATTGGTTACCTAAACTACACAAAAAACCAGTAAAATATCGTTTCATCTCGGCCTTTAGTAAGTGTTCTACAACTAATCTTAAGCTTTCAGTGCTTTTAACAAGTTCCTTAACTATACTATCTAAGAGCTTATCATAAACTATTGTAATAAAATATATGAAAATAGTGGAATTAACTATTTTTGGAGTGTAAAAAATTCTTTGGATGTTTTAGATAAATTACGTGCTTTTGATGGTCCTTTTGATTCTGTTGACAGTTTTGACTTTTCTACTCTTTACACTACACTTCCACACAATCTTATCAAGCAAAAACTTGACTATTTAATTAAATGGTCGTTTGGTAAATCTGAATGCAAATATATTTGCTGCAACTCATTTAAAGCCTTCTTCTCTAATGAGAAAGGTAAATATGCTAGATATACTTACTGGAGGTGTGATGAGATGATTGAAGCTATTAATGTTCTCCTTGATAATATTTATGTACGTTTCGGCAGCAAAGTTTATCGACAGGTTGTAGGTATTCCTATGGGCACTAATTGACTTGTTTTTGTACTGTTATGAATCACAGTTTATGACCAAACTCAGTAAAGACCCGTCTAAATGGCATTTAATTGATAAATTCAACAGCACTTACCGTTATCCTGATGATATTTTTTCGTTAAATAATCAAGAATTTTCTCGATATACTGCCGAAATTTACCCAAAAGAACTTACTTTAAATAAATCAAATTTAAACGGTAACAACTGTCCTTTCCTAGATCTAGATATTTCGGTTTACACGGGAAACTCCACACTAAAATTTACGACAAAAGGGACGATTTTTCGTTCCCTATTGTTAATTTTCCCTTTTTGAATGGGGATATTCCTTTGGCACCCTCTTACGGTGTTTATATTTCACAACTCGTTCGATATGCCCGTGTCTGTTACTAAGCCAGGGATTTCGTTACCACAAATTACTTAAAACCTTTACTAAATTTTTCCACAGATATAAAGATTTTGTTTTGAAGTTTGGTTGTACCTGTAGAAAACTTATTTCAAACGGTATTGCACATCCTCATTTTTACGGCAATACTGTTTACCGTGCACGGAAATGTAGAAACGATCCTGGTAAACTTATCGATCCTTTAAATAAAGTTATACCAAAAGTTTACCAATTCAACACTGTAATTAGATCATTAAATACTGTTTTTATTGGTACTAATATTGATTTTGTTATCAGTAAATTAAAAGCAAACTAAATATTATTACTATATATATATAAAAATATTAATTTTCGCGAACCATTTAGGTCACGGAAATTCCATTTTTTGCCATCAGTAAGGAGAGTTGTACAAATAATGTGAATACACAGAACCCCGATCCAATTCATCTTTTGCTAAAAATATTTATCATTTTCTGTTTTATATCTCCTAACATCATTCCATTTTTCTGTAATTTCGATTAAAATATGCCAAAACCTGCAGTAAAAATAGATGTATGCCCCAAATAAACATTCCCCGATTGGTTGAACTACTATGGCGTGTCATTTGGTCTCTTGTGGAGAGTTGTCTCATTGGCAATCATATCACATCTTCTTTTTTATATTTTCTACAAAATAAGCACAAAATGGAAATCTTTGTCTGTTTCTTGAATAAACGAAGGTGTCAACATATGTGCAATTTGGATACCCTCACTGAAAACACTGTTGTGCTACCTTAAATGGAAGAAATACACGACTTGGAAAAAAAGGGTTGTACCCAAACTTGGTTTAAGTCCTGTTAGATATACACTGGATAGTAGAACACTCATCAATTTAATGACAATAATAAAAAAAAAATCGTGACTTATTTACAGTTAAGCGGCTTTTTCTAGATCTCAAATGTCCAACAAAAAGAAAATTATTACCACAAAATTCTGTTGTAAAAATATAAAAATCACCCGCTTTCAGTTAGAGCTTGTCATTTTTAACGATATAAAAGGCATAAATGTGTCAGAAAACTAAAACATTTTACAGTCAGTAAATATAAAATGATAGACGTGAAGATATGTGATGTCTATTTAGGAGTCCAAATCATCAAAATATCCACTTATAA